TGTCTTATTTTATGTTAATATAGACATTTTCATTCATCCATCTGTGATATTTTCTTCAAAATTATATAAGAAACACATATAAACATGCAATGTTCATATGTGTTTATGCCATCGAAGGGTGTAGTCTGTGGAGGGAAAACATTACGTTTTCTCTTTTTCTCTGGTCGTGCATTAGGGAAAACTGTATGAATCTGCGTCTGGCTTTTGTTTACAATTCTCGGCTTGAATTATTCATTACTTTTTCCTTTGTTTATGATGGCATCTAAAGGTAGTTGTTAGAAACGATTAAACTCAATGAACAAGGCACGTTGATGGTAATATGTCTCTGGGCTGCATTAAATATCGTGCAGCTATGTAGGTAGGTGTATGTAAGTAGCCCAGGCTACCTACCAGCTACCTACCGGCAACTTAGTAAGTTTATTCAGATATACACAAATACAGTTACATAGATTATCATACATAGCAGCATATGTGTAGAGAACCTAGGATAATCCAAAAAAGTCAGACACATTGACTTCCTACAAAAAAGTACTACTCACCTCTCGCCCTACATTAAGACTACAAATATTTTAGAGTAAGTAATGAATGTGGAAGAGTTGGTGGATGACCACAGGGAAGAGCTAATCACTGAAGAGCTACAACACTAGAGTTAATCTTTAAAAAAATTATTTTACGTTAATATTTTTGGGTGTCTGGAACAGATTAACTGTATAGTATTTCTCATGAGAAATGTTGATTCAGTTTTCACACATTTTGGTTTTAGAACAACCTTCTGGAATGGATTAAGTTCGGAAACCAGAGTTCCACTGCATAATAATAATCTTCATTTTTACAAGTACATGTACAACATATACAGGCCTAGCTGACATCAGTAACATACCATCATATAGAAAAACCCTTGTTATGCAGAGCATTTTGGACAGATTAGGCAATTTTGTTCCCAGGATGTGACTCGTATCAGTAAACTAACACCTAGGTACCTATTTTACTGTTAGGTGAACAGGGACAGCAGGTGTCTTAAGGAAACACATCCTAATGGTTTGATCCCCGTACTGGGGATCGAACCATGGACCTCACTGTGTGAACTGAGTGTGCTAGCACTCAATCTAATAGATTCTTACATGAGAATTCATTAGGGTTAGCTTTTCTGGCCTACTATGTATCATTACTCTTGTCAAGAGCAAACATACAGGCTACAAGATGTGTAAGCAAAAGGCTAGCTTACACACATTACAGTGAGTTCAGCAGGTACACTATCAACAGATACACTGTCTCAGTCTTTCTAAAAAAAAGGATGTTTTCAGAATGAGCAATATTGCCTGAATCCCTGATGAATTCCTGTATATCAGTTCTTTTAGGATATGAGGACTAAGAGATTATTTAAGAGTGAAATGCATAGACATACTGTATTTATTTCCAAACAGATAAATCAAACACAGTTACATCAGCTACAACAGTTGGTGTTTTAATCTTGAGCTAATTATGTATTTTAAATATTCTGTAATGGTTGTGCCACAGTTAGTGGTTGATGTTAATGTCTATCATAGTTTGTTTCTTAATAATAGGGATGGGATGATACCAATTTTTTTGCTGATACTGATACCGATACTCAAATTTAGGCCAATATCGATTATGATCCTATCAGAGTTAGCCAGTGCCCACCGGTACTGGTACCAATACCAGTGCCATCAAAACTGGCTGATGCCTACCAATACTCAGCTTTAAGCCAATGATAATACCAATACTGCACTGATACCATCAAAATTAGCCGATACCCAGTGATAATGACAGCGAAACTTTGACCCACCTCCTGCTTTATAATATTTATTCATGAATATACAGTCTTCAAGGAAGGTGCCTTGAGTTGGAGCTACCTTCCACTTCCTTGGATCACACCTAATTAGCGCATATTCCCCAGGTGCTCTACGACTGGTATTTGTTTGGCACTTCCCAATGAGCATGATAATCATAATGAAAATTATTTCTCTGGGCCGTACCTACAATAAAAATACATAAATCAGTAGATACAAGAAATAGTAAGGACAAAAGAAGGCCATTAATTATGCAAGACTTCTTGTGCAGTTAACTACAATACGAATGGTAGCAAATGACAAATGGTAAATTACAGAACAGAAAGAGGAACTTGTATTATGTTGCAGACTTAGATAACCTAGACTATCTTACTATGAAATACAAAGTTTAACCCGTAAACGGTCCAAACATATATATACGTTCACTACCCCAGTGCCTTGAATATTTTGAAAAATAAAAGAATAATTTTTGTTAATGAAAATAAAGAGCACATTTTTCTAAATGTTATAGGCTAAAAAAAAAAAATTAGGGTCAGTACTTACAGAGATATGAGGCCAAGAAGTTGGCACTGGATGCTCACTTGACAGCAACATGAAGTCCTGCCCTTGCAGAAGTGTTGCCGATATATGTTTTTTTTTTCTATTTTTTCATATTTTATATAATTTTTATGTTCTGATAATTACAGTTTATAATAGTTCTTGTCATTTCATAGCCAATCTTTGTTCTGACACTAGTATTAGGTGCAGAAATTGTACTCACATTGTCACAAACACATTGACAGGTGGACATTTACACCTGCCTTGGCCATTTACTATTGTCTTGGAATATATATTTATAGGTCCCAGCAATGTTTTGGATATGTGGAAGTATATAATAATAATAATAATGAGGAGGAGGAGGAAAAGAGGGGAGGAGGGAAAGGGGAGGAGGAGGAAAAAGGAGGAGGAGGAAAAGTAAAGAAGGAAAAGGAGAAGGAAAAAGGGGGAGGAGGAGGGGAAAAAAAAGGGGGAGGGGGGAGGAAAAGAGGGGAGGAAAAGTTAGGAGGAGGGGGAAAATAGGAGGAGGGGGAAAAAAGGGGAGGGGGAGGAAAAAGGGGGAGGAGGAGGAGGAAAAGGAGGGAGGAGGAAAAGGAGGAGGAGGAGGAAAAGGGGGGGAGGAAAAAAAGGGGAAAAGGGGAAAAAAAGGAGGAGGAAAAGAAAAGGAGGGGGAGGAAAAGGAAAAGGAGAGGAGGGGAAAGGGGGAGGAGGAGGGAAGGGGGGAAGGGAAAGGGGGAAGGAGGAGGAGGGAAAAGGAGGAGGAGGAGGGAAAGGGGAGGAAAGGAGGATGAGGGGGAGGGGGAGGAAAAGGGGGAGGGGGGAAAAGGGGGGGAGGAGGAGGGAGGGGGAGAAAGGGGGGGGAAAGGGGGGAGGGGGGAAGGGGGGGGGGGGGGGAGGGGGGTGGGTATGTGGGTTCTTTGGGTTCGGGGTTGAAGGGAGAACACTTTTTTAGGTAACATATATTTCATAGGTGAGAGGAAGGGCCCGCCCCGCCGTGTTTTACCTGGTGTCTACGCCGCAGTGGGGGGAGGCAAGGTACGGCCCACCAGCCATCCCGGGGCGCCACAAAGTCACAGGAAAAAGGGTCTCCCACTAAAGCACAGGGATATAAAAGATGCTATTAACACAGGGATCACAACTTTCTGACAGCTCGGGGCAGTTACGTATGTCGTTTCCCACATACACTACTATCTATAGGCTGAACAGGCAGGCGGTTCTGGGCTGATTCTATACAATAACAAATTCATATATAACTTAGAACTAATGGATGGTATCATAATGGATGTTACAACATGAGTTTTACGTAATGGATGTTAACGTAATGAGTTTTAACGTAATGCATTACAAACTATAAGAGCAAATCATTGTAAAATATGGATGGAATTGATCGATCGATCTGTATTCAAGCACTCTACGGATTCTGAGGAAGAATAAATATATATATACAAGGTGAAATTAACAGCAAAAGCATCTGGTGCACTCAGACTATTACTGTCAAATTCTCAGAATACGGAGGGAACGTGAACACACAAAAAAAAAATATTTCTGAAAAAACTAATTAGTTAATAACAAACAGTTGACAATTTACTTCATCTCGGACATCTAGTTATACAGACTATGTACATTTAAACCCAATTCTGCGAGGGTGAGGTTTACATATGCAGAATGGTTATCATCTTTGGGAGGATCGAATTCCTCTGCAATAGCTAACACATGCCTTGACTGAGGGAGATCTAAACGAGTATCTACAAAAGATACTTGTGGGTTTCTCATTACTTGTCGAGTACGCAAGGAGTAACGACATTCAGGTTGAGTATCTGACTGAGTATCTGAGGTAGAGGGTACAGAGTCAAGAGGATTTTCAGCATCTGTCATATTAGTCTGGGTAGCAATATCCTCAACATCGCATACTAATTTCATATGATCTAAATGCGATTCTTTGTACTTACCAGTATAATTTCTTTAACCTTATACTTATTACCAGAGATATGTTCTACTACTCGATAAGGTCGACAAACTTTTGATCGAGCTTAGGCATTTCGGATGTTTTGTTGAAATTTGTCAGCATTATCTTGAACTAATGACTTTTT